GACTTGTCCTTCTACAGCAGGAAAATTCAAAACTAGTCCAAAAATAGTCAGGGGGACGTTTTTTATACCATAAATGTTCGAACATTGTTTATTGTTTGTAAGTTTTCGTCCAACATCCGCCTGTAGGAGAAAATGCCTGACCTGATCAAAGCGTGTCCCTAGGGGTGCCATTTTTGCACAGCCCCCGCTCCGGCCTTGTGCCGGACCAGCTTGTTTTTTGGGGGCGTCGAGGCTCAGGAGGCGGGACTCAGCACAAACGGGGGTCCGCCAGCGCGCCAGATCTTGCAGGATCTTGCAGGATCTTGCAGAGCCAGGGGTGCACTGACCCGGGCGTGCGTGCAAGATGTTATACAGGATCCTGCAGGATCTTGCAGGAGCTTGCAAGCCCGACTGACCCGACCCGGGTCAGCAGATCCCCGAGGGTGGTGCACTAAAATCGCGCTTTCCTCCTCGTCCTCCTCGTCCTCCTCCTCCTCCTTCTCCTCCTCCGCTCCTCCTCCTCCTCCTCCCCTCCGCTCCTCCCTCCTCCCTCCTCCTCCTCCTCCTCCTCCTCCTCCTCCTCCCTCCTCCTCCTCCTCTCTCCTCATCCTCCTCTCCTCCTCCTCCTCCCTCCTCCTCCTCCTCCTCCTCCTCCTCCTCCTCCTCCTCCTCCTCCTCTCCTCCTCCTCCTCCTCCTCCTCCCTCCTCCTCCTCTCCTCCTCCTCCTCCTCCTCCTCCTCCTCCTCCTCCTCCTCCTCCTCCTCCTCCCTCTTCCCTTCCTCCGCCCTCCCCCCTCCACTTCCCAGAAGGCCGCCCCCCGCGCCCTCTCCACAGGGCCTGCTCGGAAGCCCTCCGCCTGCCTCGGAACGGCGCCCTCCTCGTGCGGGCCGCCAGCAGCCAGGATTAAGTCGGGCACGTCCCTCTACAGGAGGAATATCCAAACATTGCCAAACAAAGATCGTATGGGGACGAGGCTTTAAAACTATTGTTTTCACGATGTTTAATCACGTCTGGGATATCTTGTTATTTTTCGTCAAGCATCCGCCTGCATGGGGGACACGCCCGACAATACACCAGGGGCGGAAGAAGGCCGCGCGCGCGCGTGAATCCGCATTGGTCCCGAGAGATCGGAGGAGGAAGGGGTATCCAAGCCGCCACCCTTCTCTCGTCTTCGCTTTTTCGGCCTCCCGTGAGGCCCTCGCCGCCGCCGCTGGACTCGTCTCGAGACTCTAGTCAGAACGCGCCCCGCGAGAGGTCGGGGAAGTGGCGGTATCGGTACCGTTTGGCTTCCCCAACAGAGCGCACTACGCGAGCCTTCGTGACAGGAGGGCGGCCTCACGAGCTGGGGATCATGTTCACGTGCGTGGCTGGCCGGAGGGGATTGATACACCACGTCGTTTGGTCGGCCAGGGAGCCCAGGAGCTCGGCGAAGGAGCTCTGCGTCTAGGTTCCCCAGCGTCCCACAAGTTGGGCAGTTGTGGCGTCTATGCACGCAGCTCCCTGGCTGACCAAACGAGTAGTTCGTCGTCGTCGTCGTCGTCGTCGCCGTCGTCGTCGTCGTCGTCGTCGTCGTCGTCGTCGTCGTCGCCGTCGTCGTCGTCGTCGTCGTCGTCGTCGTCGTCGTCGTCGTCGTCGTCTACGCCTCGAGCCCCTCCCAGCTGCGTGACGTCCTCCCTGGCTTCCCCCGAGCGCCTCGGCCCCCGAGGCCCCTCCGCCCCCCCCTCCCCCCCCCCCGCTGCCCCCCCCTGCCCCTCCCCCCCCCCGCCTCCCCCCCGTCCCCCCTGCCCCCCCGCCCCCCCCGCCCCCGAGGAGCACCGCGGGGGCCTCGGCCCTGCCCGCGGTGGCGATCATCGCGGCGGTGCTGGCGCTGAACGCCTGGACGATCTCCATCCTCGTGGAGGCGGCGCCGCCCACGGCGCCCCTCTCCCTCCTCGTGGACGCTCTCCGCCCTCGCGGGCGATCTCCATCCCTCGTGGATGAGATCCCTCGTGGACGAGGTCCATCCCTCGTGGAGGCTCGGCGGGGCTGGCCTCACGGGCGCCCCCCGAGGCTGCCCGAGGGGCCACCAGAGGTCGCCCCCTGCCGGGGCGGCCCGAGGGGCCTGCCTGGGAGGGGGGGGGGGCCCGGGGCGGCCCTCAAGAGGCTCCCGGAACGGCCCGGGAGCGCACCGAGAGAGAGAGAGGGGGAGGGGGAGAGGCCCGGGCGCGGAGGAGGACGGGTGCGGAGGAGGAGGAGCAGCGAAGAGAAAGGGCGGTCAGGGCGTGGGTTCTGCCACGCGCAGCAAGGTGGTGCAGATCATGACCATTTCCATCACCTCCTGCACGGCTAGGTGAGCTCATCTTATGTTGTCCCCTTGCGGGCCCTTGATGATGTTTCTCTGGATCCGTGGGCTTCTGTTGTCCATCTGCGCTCACCTAGGTCTCACTTGTCGGCCACAGCGCCTGCGTCGGTGCATTTGTACTCTGCCGACTTGTTACCCTCCTGACACTACGATCCCAGTCTATCTAGGTTTGCCTAACGTCGAAAAGGAGGAAGGGCAACACAAGGAAGAGGTTGAGCTGGATGAGGCGGAGGACTGAGCAGCAGCAGCAGCAGCAGCATCAGTAGCAGGATGGAGGGCGGTGAAGGGGGGGGGGCGCGGTGGGGGATGAAGCGGAGAATGATGAGGTCGAGGGAGGATCAGAGTAAGGATCAGGATGAAGAGAGCAAGGGATCGACGTGACAACAAGGTTTCGACGAGCACCACGGCGACGAGACACTCCGAGGTCACCCTCCCCATGAATTGCCACCCGCCCGAAGGATCTCAGGAGACGACTGCGAGACATTTGGGCTCCAGGCTGCGCGGGGCGGTGGCAGAGGTCAGGCCGTTGCCGAGGCGGCCACATGCCGCTGGCCCTGCTCCCGGCGCTCCTGCCCGCGCTGCTGGCCGGGCTGGGCGGCGCCGTCGCGCCGAGCGGGAGACCCGCCGAAAGAGCCCTCCTCCTCCTCCACCTCCTCCTCCTCCTCCTCCGCCCTCCTCCTCCTCCGCCCTCCTCCTCCTCCTCCTCCTCCTCCTCCTCCTTTCTCCTCCGTCCTCCTTCGTGGCCCTTCCTCTTATTACACTCCTTCCTTCCGTCCTTCCTGCCCCTCCCAAGGAGTGCACCATCGACCCACATCTTCGAAGATACGGTGGGTTCACGCGGCGATGGCGCGCCGGCGACGCCGGCGAAGGCGTTCCAAGTTTGAGCCCCTCATGATAGAACGACGCGGAAGCACTGAGGGGCGCGGGAGCGCCGATAGAATTCAACCTTGGACGATCGGGGCCACGATAGGTTCAAGGTTGAACGATCGACGAAGTTTCAAAAACCTTTGCGCGCGCCGACGCCGCATGAACCTACCGTAGATTGTTTCAGTCCGTCGCAGAACAGAAAACGGCGTGAACATAACTTCTCGGAGGTCCGCGCGAATTTCTCGGACTGGCGCTGGGACCCTCTGGTTGCGCCTCCGGCGCAGCGCTTGGCGCGCTCCGCGGCCAGGGAGGGGGTTCCGACGCCGATCCAAGAAATCCGCGCGGACCTCCGAGAATGTATGTTTACGCCGACTATCCTTCCTCTACACAGGTATGAGTCATACGGTATGACGGTTTCAATCTGGCGTTTTTCATCGATTTCGGCCTTCGGCTGTTATACTTGGCCCCGGGACGACCGATGGTTGATGCGGGACGCCGAGCTACCCCTGGGGAAGGGGTCGGGAGCTCTAGGGCCGTGGATATGAAAAGTCAGATGGGAGGATCTCCAGGTATACATTTGCACCGATCATGGCCAGGCCGATCCTGAGCCCAGGATCAGGCGTACGCACATGCCTCCCCGTCCAAGCCATGAGGGTCTTCTGCCGCCAGGGTGTGTCAGGTGCACTTCGGCTTCGCCCGTGGCACTCTGAAGCGCCTTCGGGTCAGCTCGCCAGCACACCCTTGGTTCCTTCATGAGCGTGGGGTGGTACCCCTCCGACGGGGGGCAACCTCGCCTCGTCGTCGCGCCGCGACGGGGGTCGCAGCACCTTCGGCGCGCGGTGGCTGCCCGCGACGGGGGTCGATGTGGGGCTGTCGGCGGGGGTAACGCCCCCTGCACGCTCATTAAGAAACTTCACGCCCCCCCCCCACGCTTAGTAAGAAACTCGGCGTAGGGTTTCCGCTCCTCGCACGGGTGCCTCCCCCCACCCCTCTCGGACGAAGAGGGGGATCGGCGCTCTCAAGTCTGGAAGAGGTGTTCGGGACCTGGGCGTTCCCCGGGGGTGCTGGCAGGGCCCCGAACGGCGGCCGGAGACCCGAGTGCGGCCACGGAGGCCAGAGGCCGAGGATCAGTCCAGCCGGGTCGGACGAACGAGCGGGGGAGACTAGTTCCGAAGAAGAAAGCAAAGCATGAACGTAAGCTTTTGGCGCTCCGCGCGGATTTCTTGGCTCCGCGCTGGGCCCCCCCTGGCGGCGCCTCCGGCGCCGCCCCCTGGCGCGCTCCGCGCGCCAGGGAGGGGGTCCAGCGGCCAGCGCGGATCCAAGAAATCCGCGCGGAGCGCCAGAAGGTTATGTTTATGCGTTGTGTCTTTGTTTATCATTAGTATTGTTATTATGATTACTATTAGTATTATTCGTCTTCCTCTTCCTCTTTGTCTTCTTCTTCTTCTGCTTCTTCTGCTTCTTCTTCTTTTTCTTCTTCTTCTAGGGAACAGGATCGGTACGAAAGTGCTGCCGGCAGCCCGCTTCGGACTCGCCGCCCGGCGCATTCCCCGATGCACGCACGGGCGCGCCGAGGGGCGCAGGGAAGGCCAGCTGCGTGAGCTGAGCAGGAGCAACGTCCCTCACCACCCACCAAACCACCCCAACCCAACCCGAAGTTCCAGTGTGGGGGGGGTCGGGAAACATCGAAAAATCACATGTGGAACCCTTACCCCCCCAAACCCGAAATTCGGGTCTTCGGGTTGGGTTGGGGTGGTCTGGTAGGTAGTCAGTCACAGGGAAGCTGGAGAAAGTGGCCAGGGCCAGCCCTTGCACCAAGTCGGGCCTGTTCTTCTACAGGAGGAGTATTCAGAACCAGTCAAGAAATAGTCTGGGCACGACTTTTTTTGACTATGTTTGGCCATTTGGGGGTATCGCTTGATCATCTTTTAATTTTTCCTCTAGAATCCGCCGGTAGGGGGACATGCCCTACCTAACCCTTGCGTTCTGTGCGTCCCTGGTCGGTGACCCTTCGTTTCTCTGGCCCTGGCGACCAAGTCCCCATGATTCGGGGTTTGTTCCAGCCCCTGCCAGTTTGTTTTTCTTTTGTCTCAAGTCGGGCCTGTCCCTCTACAGGGGGAGTATCCAAAAATAGTACAAAAATAGTCTGGCGACGATTTGTTGAGCATTTTTTGACCACTGTGGGGTGGTATCTTTGTGGGGTATCTTCAATTTTTCGTCCAAAATCACCCTGTAGGGGGACAGGCCCGACTTAATTTTTGTCCAGCCCTGGCCACTTCCACTTTCACCGAGTTTGCAGCATCCACTGTGTCAAGCTTCTCTGCACAGGGGAGGATGGGCTCCAGGAGGAAGCACCGACCACCCCCCACCTCGCCCATGCCCCGACCGTGCGGCTTCGCTTCGGGGGGGGGGGGCTGTCGCCGATCCATCGGCGACGTGTATCGCCGATCCCAGCTCGACGCTTCCCCCCCCCTGAGCCGGACCCTCGCTGCGCTCCCCCCTTCCCGTCCGCCCCGGCCCGCGCCGGGGGGCAGCACTGCTGCTATCTCCAGGCTCCCCGGAGGCGGCCCGACCCCCGAGAGCACGCGCCCCGGCAAGAGTGCAGCACCAGGAAGCAGCGCGACCCGACGGAGCCCTAGACCGTCCTCCTCCTCCTCCTCCTCCTCCTCCTCCTCCTCTCCTCCTCCTCTTCCTCCCCCTCCTCCGTCTGCTGCATCTCTCGAGTCGGGCGAGCCTGTGCAGGTCCCCAGGCCCGAGACTGGAGCCATGGTCGACGCTGGGGGGTCGGACGCCCCCGCCGGAGGTCATTTGCAGGTGCAGCCATCGATCGGGTCCTGAGACACGGTCCGCGCTCCAGAGATGTGGCATGCAGGAAGAGGGCTCGCATGTGGTTGCCTGCCCCGCGCTGGTGGTGTCTGCGCTCCCGCTCCGCAGATGGGGCCAGAGTGTGCGGGGTCGAAGGGTCCTGGTGGCGCCGCATATATATAATGCCGATGCATCGGGGACTCGGCGCGACCGGGGGCCCGAGTGTCTCCACCCCGACGTCGTTGGCGCGTGGCCGATGCATCGGCGACGCTGGGCGATCCTCCGACCCCTCCCGCACTCCGAGACGCACCTTGAGGAGGCCTCCGGGTGTGCTCTGGCCTCGGAGTCATCCGGCAGTGCCTCCTCCGGGTGACGGCACGCACCGGGGGGCGGCGCCAGGGGGGCGGCCTTCTGAGGCTCCTGCCTCCCTCGAAGGGCCTGGGGGCCCCTCTCTATTGTGAAGTCGGGCGGGTCCCTCTACAGGAGGGATATTCAAAAACAGTTGTTCAACAAAAATATAGTGAGGGTACGATATTTTGACTCTTTTTCACCATTTGGGCATTTTCATTTTAAATTTGTCGTCCAAAATCCGCCTGTGGGGGGACACGCCCGACATTATTCTATTGGGGCGTACAAGAGGGGGGGGGGGGGGGGGGGCATGGAAAGGGGGTATGAATTCTGCCGCGGGCAGCTCGTTGAGGCTCTGCTGCCGGGCGCTTTCCTGAATACTTTGGTGCCCCTGGCGTCGCGAGGAGCCCGAAAACCAGCTGCGTGATCGCATTTGCCAGCCACGCCCCTGTGATCCACCCTTCCGCCCACCCGGATAAGAAGGCCCCGCCGTTCTCAGAGGGCCGCTCCTTCGTTCAGGAGGGGAAGAAACACACAGACACAATTAATCGACGATCCCCAGGAAAATATAGGAAAATATGGGAATTGGGCGGGAAGACAAAAACTTAGAAAATATGAGAAAAATATGGGGAACCTTTTCATTTGTGTGTATTTATTTGTGTGTCCCAGGGCCCCTTCATTGGTGTGCGCCGCCGATCGTGCATGTGCCTGGCCGCCGGAGCCCTCTCTGGGACCTTCTCTGGAGGAGTCCCTCCGCCGAGGCGCCCCAAGCAAGTCGGCCACTGTTGGGCGCTCGCCTGGCTGACCCCCCTCTTCACAGAGGCCAGCATCGGGTTGGGAGGATGGGGCTGGGAGAAGTGACCAGACCACCCCTGCTCTCGCGCATGTCGAGGGCGTGTTCCTTCCACAGCCGGTGCACCTTCACGACCCCCTCCGCCCAACTCGACAGCTCTCTCTCTCTCTCTCTCTCTCTCGCTCTCTCTCTTCCCCTGTGGCTTTACCGCGGGCCCTCCGCGAGCGCCTCACGACGCCCGGCCGCCCCTCCGCCCCCCCCCTTCCTCCCGCCGAGGGGCGCCGCCTCCGGGGCCGGGCCGCCGCCGCCGCCGCCCCCGGAGTTCCGCATCGACCTGGACGTGGAGCCCGAAGAGAGGTTCCGAGAGGCCCCTGGAGGGGGGGGGGCCTCGGGGAGGGCTCGGGGAGGGGAGGAGGGGACGTGGAGCCCGAAGAGAGGTTCCCGAGAGGCGCCTGGAGGGGGGGCCTCGGGGAGGGCTCGGGGAGGGGAGGAGGGGACGTGGAGCCCGAAGAGAGGTTCCGAGAGGCCCCTGGAGGGGGGGGAGGGCTCGGGGAGGGGAGGAGGGGACGTGGAGCCCGAAGAAAGGTTCCGAGAGGCCCCTGGAGGGGGGGGGGGGCTCGGGGAGGGCTCGGGGAGGGGAGGAGGGGACGTGGAGCCCGAAGAAAGGTTCCGAGAGGCCCCTGGAGGGGGGGGGGCCTCGGGGAGGGCTCGGGGAGGGGAGGAGGGGACGTGGAGCCCGAAGAAAGGTTCCAAGAGGCCCCTGGAGGGGGAGGGCTCAGGGAGGGGAGGAGGGGAGTCCCCCTGGTTCTGTTCGACGGCGCCGGATGTTCGGGGGGGGGAGAGGGGCCCGGTTCACACGCGCTGCCGAATGTTCCCAGGGCAAGCGCCCGTGAAGCGCGCTCCCTCCCCCCTCGGGGTCGCACAATCAGCACGATCCAGACGGGTGCGGAAAGAAGGGGCACGGAGACCGGCAGCATTCCTTGCTCCTTCTGAGCCAGGTTCGTTGTCGGCGTCGCCGCGGACGGTGCCCATTTGAGACACAAGCTCGCCTGCCCAACAGCGGCCGCTGCCGAGATTTTGGGCAGCAATTGTTGTTGGGCATCGTACCCATCTGTGTTTCGCACCCACTTCGGGCAGACATGCTCGGCCAGCCAGTGTGTCCACTTTTGGCACCCATTTCGGGAGTGTTTCGTGCCTATTCTGTTTCGTATCAAATTTGTGTCCTTCCACATGCGCCCGCCGGCGGCCAGTACACCGTGGCCCCCACCCTGGAGGACTCGGCGGGCCCAGGACCCGCGGCGCCTCCTCGCCCTTGGTGCCCGCACCCCCCACCTCCTCCCTCCTCCTCCCTCATCCCTCATCCCTCCTCCCTCCTCCTCCTCCTCCTCCCCCTCCCCCTCCCCCTCCTCCACCTCCACCTCCTCCTCCTCCTCCTAGCCGTTCTGGCCCAAGTGTTTTGGGCTTGCTAGCGTATACTTCAGAACGGCACACTGCGCTAGCGGGTCAAGTGGCTCGTTCAGACAGGCAGCACTCTCTCGCAGCGTCTCCCATGGGACCGAAGCAGCATGAGGTCATCGGTGCGAAATGTCTCTCGTGTGGCGCTGCGAAGTGCAACAAGCCGTGGTACAAATGGTGTGCGAATTGTTGGGCTCCCATTCCGCATGTTTCTCCTGGTGCTCCACGTGATCCTGGGGGTGTGTGGCAAAGTGGTCCTGCAGTTCCTGGCCCCAAAGGATTTCACAAAGGTCAAGGACCCAAAGGTGGACGTGGCAAAGGCGGGCTTGGGGGTGGCGGAGGCATCGGCGGCGGCGGGGGTGGACCAGGCGGTCGTGGAGGCGCTCTGGCCCATCCTGCAGATCCGTCTTCGCTCCTCGCCCAGCTTCAGTTGCTCATGGGCCAGCTCAAGGATGATTTCCCCGAGCGTGCCGCGGTGGCCAGCTCCATCGCGGCGCCGGCGTCCGCTATTCGTTCCCAGCAGTCTGAAGCTCGTCCCCTTCGGCAGCAGGCATCCGAGGCTCAGCAGGCTCTTGACAAGAATGTGCGCGCTCTCAACTCGTTCGACTCCCAGATTGCCGACACCGAGTCGCGCCTCGCGGAGCTCAAAGAGAAGAGGGCGGAGGCCGCCACCCAGCAGGCGCAGCTCAAGGCGAGGTACCTGGAGCTGGCGGCCAAGGTGGCCGACCTCCCGCCCCCGCCGCAGGCTGCGGAGCTCCAGGGGCACATGTCCAACTTCGACAGCGTACTGGAGTCTGGCGACCTGGCTGCCATCCGTGAGGGCTGGGCCAAGCTTAAGCCCAGCTGCCAATCCGTCGCCCAGAGGCAGGCTGCAGGCAGTGGAGCTGCTCCTGCTGCTTCTGGCAGTGGAGGGGGGACGGGTGGCGAGGCTGGGGTGGGGACGGGTGAATCTGCTAACACTGATGAAGCAATGCCTCAGGTCGAGGCTGCGGATTCAGAAGCATTCCAGAATTTTTTACATGAGTGGCAGCAGGCACAGTCGGAGGAGGTCTCGAGTGAATCGAGGCAGCGCGTCTCGTCTTTCATCGAGGCAGCGGCCAAGAAGGCCAGGACGGTTGCTGCCACTCCTGCCGAGGCTCCTGCTCCTCGGACTCCTTCCTAGCCTACCTCAGCTGATGTCGGCTGGCTCGTCTCCCCTCCTCAGCCAGGATGTGGCCGCGGGAGTGCCTGTAGAAGGCTCTCCCCACCCCCCACCTCCGCCTGATTTGGAGAATTTCGGGCTTTGCGTTCAGACTTGCAATGTTTCAGGATGGCTGTCACTTAAGAACAAGTGGCTGCCAATGACCACGGCACACGTTTTGTTAGTTCAAGAACATCACTTGTGCTCAGATGAAGACATCTCCAAGGCTTCAGAATGGCTCTTTCGTCGTGGGTGGAAGTCGTGTTGGGCGGCGGCCGCTCGTGGGGAGGGCACTGGGTCTTCAGGAGGAGTTGCTGTTATTGCTAGATCGTACCTCGGGCTTCACACGTTGTCGTCGGGCTTCGTACTGTCCCCTCATCGTGCTGGAGCTTGTGTGATTGATATTCCAGGAGGTTTTCAGGTCCTTGTCGGATCGATTTACCTTCACGACGTCGAAGGTCTTTCTGAGCGCAACGTGGAGATCTTGTCGCGTCTCGGAGCAGGACTTTCACATTCAGATCTCCTTGTCATTGCGGGAGGCGACTTCAACATGACTCCAGGTGAGTTTCAGAAGTCGCATTTCGTTTCGGAGTTCAAAGGCCAGATGATCACCCCGACAGACGGAGGCTACACGCTCCGCAGCACGGGGGGCCTCAAAGTCTCAGATTTCTTTGTCGTCTCGGCAGGCATCGCGAAGGTTGTCAGTAAGGTGAGTGTTAACCACAATTCCCCTCTCACCCCCCACTCCCCAGTGGATCTGGAGCTTTTCCCTTCGCCTGCTCAACTCAACGTTTTGGAATTTCGTAAACCATCTCCCCTTCCCCCCCAAAGGGCCATCGGGCCCACTCGGGAACCCCCTTCTTGGGACCCTGTTCTCGATGTGCTGGAAGCGGCTCTGGTAGCTGCCAGGGCGGGGAAGGGGTTTGAAACTCAAAGGCTGCTCAATCTTACTTACAAGTGGTGGGCCAACCTTGCTGAAGTGGAGGTGGCCAACGCCACGCAATCGGTTTTGCCAGTTTGGGGTTCGAGAGGCAAGGGCCCACAGCTTGTGTGGAAGCCTGTTTTTCTAAGGATAAGGAACCTCTTAGACACCCTTTTCTGTACTCTGTCAGGTGGCTGTATAATCGCATCTTGGACTGCAAGGTGTATATTTCGTCCCATCCCCAAAAGGCCAAGAACAGTGGAGGTGATGTTGTGTGGGCCTTGAGGTCGTACATTTTTCACCCTCCCCCGTTTGTGGTCGAGAATCTGGGGGCCCATAAGGACTTGCTCATCACTCTGCAGTCCATGGTCAACCAAGTCGATTTGAACTCGAGCGGAGAGCTCGAACAGGATTTTCTCGATCTGTCTCTCTTGGTCTCTGATCTGGTCGCGCAGGCTGAAGCCAGCGCTAGGGACCGCAGTTTAGCTTCCTGGCGTAGTTGGCTGAGAGAGAACATTGACCAGGGGGCCAAGCGAGCGCACATGGTCACTTCTGAACCCAAGCCCTGGAAACCTACTTCCACTCTCTCGGCCAACGGCTGCGTGGTTAGTGACCCCAGGTCCCTGCCCGAGGCAGAACGCAATAAGTTTACCCATTTGTGGCGCGCGTTTGACTCCCCTCTTGAGGTGGGACCTATTGCCGACTTCGTTCCTGCCCCTGAGCTCCCCCCCTTGGACCCCAACGAGTTGGTCCGTCTTTCGAGAAGCTACAAGGTTAATTCGGCTGTGGGTGTGGACGGTTTCCACATGAAACACTTCAGTATGATTTCCCTTCCTGGGGTCACGGCGCTGTGTAGGATCCTGCAGGTCATGGAAATCTCCAGCATGTTGCCTTTTCAGCTCGATGCCACGGTGCTGGCCCTCCTGGGGAAACCTGCTGGAGGGTTCCGCCCTATTGGTATTTTCATGGGTCCCTACCGCATCTGGGGGAAAGCGCGGCGGTGCCTTGCCGAGAGCTGGGAGGGGGCGCACGCTCGTCCCTACTTTGCTGCGGGCAAGTACCAGGGGGCGTCCGACGTTGTGTGGCGTCAGAGCGTCCGCAGCGAGAGTGGGGCCACTCACAACTTACACGCGGCGACCCTCCTGCAGGACATGTTTAAATACTACGAGCTCATTGATCTCGAGCGACTCCAAGATCGGTGCTTGAGATTGGGTTTCCCGGTTGCCATGGCCAAGTTGGCCGTGCGGGCCTACAGGGCCCCGAGGTTTCTTTCCCTGGGTGGCTGCCTCGACGGTCCTTGGTACGCTTCTTCGGGCATCATCGCGGGGTGTTCTTTGGCCACGACCCTGATCAGGGTTAATGCTGTGGAGTCGCTCGATTCTGTTAGGTTACGGCAGGGTGCTCAACTGGCGCTCTACATCGACGATTCTGGTCTCAGTGCCGTCGGCAGTTTCAATTTTGTTGTGGACGCCATCACGGAAGGCGCGCCCCAGCTCCACGAAGCCATTGTTGACGGCATTGGTGCGCAGGTGGCGGCTGACAAATCCAGTCGTATTTGTTCCTCGGCCAAGCTTGGCAGGGCCATACAGGCCAAACTGGGAGTTGAGCTCACGGGACCTATTACTTCCAGTGCTGTGAACCTTGGGGTGGACGACGCGGTGGGGAAGAGTTCTCGGGCCCAGGGTCGTAACAAAAAGCTTGTGATTAGGAAGCGTCTTTTCATCAAACGTACGGGCCGTGTGGCTAAACTTCGGAAGACCCTTGGTTCCAGGAGAACTTTGCGAGTTTTTACTGCAGGACCGCTCCCTGG